CGACAGCCAAGCACACAAACTTGTGCTGTGGGGAACATAAAATCACAGTGCGTTCATTTCTAAATATCTAATCAGAAAACCTTACTCTCTTGCCCTCACGTGAGCATATCTAATCAGAAAAGTAACCCTCTTGCCCACACATGAACACACACACACACACACATGCATACAGATACATTCACACGGAGGACACGTTCACAAATACAAACTGTAGGTGTATTCAAAATGTGGGTGACCACCAGTCGTCCAAGTGTCTCCACTCTGTTCTTTGGAAAGGGCCAAAATATCTGGGAGCTGATGTTCGGCATAGTCACAAACGACTAGAACAAAACGTACACTGACAGTGAACAGGAATTCTGGCCTCATATGTTCATGAGCGCATGTGGATTTATTTATAAAAGTTTCCTGCTCACAAAAACACAACCCAGAGTCCTCAAATATTGGTCAATCAAAAGCTAAGAAATGTAAATAGTTTGTAGTAAAGTACTGTAGAAGTTATCGTTTTAATTGTGTCCATACACAAGCATTATACCTGAAAATTGAAGCAGGAATGTTTAATGAAATGTACAGTAAGGTCAGGTGAGCACTCTTTCACAGGTGATGATGTGATTAACCTGACAATTCAAAACCACGTAGACCAAGAAACCCTGACAAAGTGCTTAATGCTATACCTTAGCACTGCAGGTCTAAAGACGAGAGCAGAGAAACCGCAGTAATAGTTAGTGTTTTCTTTAGTTCTTATTTTTCTTTTCATTGCAGGTCCAGTATCACCATCTTCAACATTTCACAGCACAAGCTTCAAATAGAAAGTGGCAGTTTTGGAGTGAAGCGGAAACCAAGAATGTTTTGCTGAAATAAATATTTCATGAGGTATGAAATGTGAAAAGGGCTATATCTGTGTGTGTGTGTGTGTGTGTGTACAGTGCTATGGGTCATTATGATAATTTAAGGCTGCAGCAAGGTTATTATTTTCTGCTGATGTGCAGATTCAGACACACTGGAAGACCAGAATGAGGTGTAATATGAAGGCATCTTCTTTCATTACATTCTCAATATGAATAGGAATGCATATGTTCCGCCATGATGGAAGTTTGAATCTAACAACCCAGTAATTTCCTTCAGCCTGCTCACATCCGCTGGTAACCCAAAAGACAATCAACCCAAAACCAAGACCCAATATCTTTCCCATCTCAGTCAATACACTATCTAACCAAATATACATTTCTTTGTCCGTCCTGTGACCAATATAAATATTGTTGAAGAATTGTTGTGAGCAAGGTTCAGGTGTGATGAAGGAGTTTCGGAGACTGATGAAGACTTAACAGCATGGTTTCTTGAGCCCGGCCGAGGAGGTAAAATCCCAGCATACAACATGTGAACATGTCAACACAAAATCTGAAGGATAACATCTTTTGGTCCCTTTTATGTTTCTCTCTTCCACATAGTTTTCCCTCTTAGGTCATCTTAACTGGCCTTAACCTAGAACAACAAATCTATCTGATGTTTAGATTCCAATGCTACGTCATATCGGAATCTATTACTATCCACGAGCTGTACTCTAATCTGTGGAGCCAGTCAGTTCTTGTAAACATTCTTGTAAGACTCAACTTTGCGAGATTCCCAGAGAACATCCATATCTGCTAGCCTGACGCCTGAGCTGCTGTCTACCTACCATATCAGTCTGTTGTCTCCCTAACAAGGACAGTTACATGTGAGAAATAACTAGAGCTGGAAGGTCAGTAAACACTTGTAGGCTCAGCTAATGACTCCAAGCTTGACCTGTCTTACCTTTGCCTGTCACATCAATTAAGCCCCCTAAGAAATATCCTTGAAAAACATCAGTGACAAGCCTACACACACGACATGACATGACATTATATAGCTGCAAAACCTTGTAGGGAGGCGATCAGGTATAGATGGGTTAACAAAGTGTGTGACTTTGACATGGGACATCACGCATCCAGTTTACTACCAGAAGTCAGTGTGAGCTTCTTTTAACCATGACCTTTCCCAAACCTAAATCAAGAAGATATTTAAACCATGGCGATGAGGATTTCTTAACCTTAAGTGTTTTGGGTTTTTTTCCAACCCAAACCTAGTGGTGACAGATCAGAAAACGCTCATATTAAACATTTTTTTTGTGACAGTCACTTCTGACATTTTTGGAAGTCTGTCAGGGTTTGTTGTGTGTGCAGGCAGGAACAGGTTTTAGGACCCAAACGCACGACACAGAGGCAGAACAGGTACAGTTTCCGAGTATTTATTTAAGCCCACAGAACTTACAGCAGAGTCCAGAATTCAACAAAGGACTATCCAAAAATGAGGCAGCAGAAACAGGCAGTGGATGAACATACCTACATATAACAAACCAGCAAAAGCTAAACAGAAGCAACAAACATTTAAGCACTGGCTAACGAGGAGGGCGGGAGCACAAACAGGTGATACCAATAATGACAGCAGACAGACACAGACAGGCAGGGTGATGAACTGACAGAAACAGACAAATACTAACAGATGCAAAACACAGGACCATATACTAACTTGAACTCAAGGTACTTAGTGGACAAGCAGGCAGAGGAATTTGACATAACACAGGTTACTGAACACAGGCCATATCAAAATAAGATGTAACAGATCAGAATGATAAAAATAACAAACTAACTCCGACACAATCAGACAAGGGTAAAACAACACAGAAGTTTACAGACCAGAAATAAACACTAAGGCATGAACTAAGGCACAGGACTGGGAACTATGACACAGAACAAGGAACTAAGATAAGAGACAAGACAGATACTAAGTAACTTCAAGATGCGGATTAATCATAATAATAAAGGCTACACAGAGACTAGAACAAAATGATCAAAATCAGATTAATTAAAGAAACTGGTAGAGAACATAAATAGACACCTAGCAAACAGACAGAACTCAAGCATGATGGTACAGAAACTAATACATGAGACTGAACAACAGAACAGAAATCAGGAAAATACCAAAACACCACTAAACACCAGCTGATGGATAATAATCAGATAAACAATAACATCAGGTAGAGGACGCACACTAAAGGTAGCAAGCAAACTAAAAACTCTAAACTAACAGCACAGCAAAAGGGATACTAACTAATAAGACAGGGCGGCCAAGGGAGACAAGATAACAGAACAACACAGACCACGAAGACTGGATACAAGACCACAGACTACATAACAGATACTTAACTGATAAATGAATAAACTCAGAGAACTAAACGGAACAGATGACAAGACAAACATGCAGATACAAAATCAAATCAAAACCCAAAAACACAGTACTCAGGACAGGATCGTGACAAAGTCACTGACTATAATAATGAAATATATGTGCCAAATAGGTTCCTCAGACTTATATTTATGTGTTGTGGCAAGTGTGTATTATATGTGTATGTGTGTGTGACTGAAAACCTTGATGAGAAACTACACCAGAAAATGTCAAAAGGGGAATACACACTCACATGCGCAAAAACGCCGACATTTACATGCATACAAAAACATGTGAATGTAAATGCACACACCCCAAAGGAATGTTTGCCAGTGTGTGACTAGATACACATCTTTTCAAGCAATCTGGAGCAAGCGGCAGGATCCTGGCAAATAATATTAGTCATGCATAATTCTCATTTTGTTAAAGCTCATCTTATTTTTGGATTCTGTTTCCATTCATAAGAGTTGGATGCTGCCGTGGATATATTTGTGTATGTTTATGTGCCTGTGTGTATATATTTGAATGTCTCAGCTAGAAATGTAATCTAAGTATACCTCAGGGAATGTGTTTTGTAGTGATTGAAGAAAGGGCTAATTTCAGCGTATCATGTCTCATGATGTCAAAAGAAAATAACAGTTTTGCTCAAAAATAGCCTCATGAAAGTTATTTCAGTCACTATCTTTCTTCCAAGTCCTTTTTTATCTAATAAAAAACATTTCCCTGTCCTGGAGAGCGTCAAGAGCTTTCATCTGGCTGCCACATTTTTTACATTATATTTGTGAATCTGAAGTCAACCTTGTAAAAAATTCAAATCAAGCAAGACCTTGATCTTTTTGTGAACTGGAAGAATCTGCTATTTGTGAAAGGAAAAAAGTAGCAACATAGTAGGCCTGCACCCAGGTGGGCTCAGATAAATGTTTAATATGAGCTCTTTCCAAAGGTGCATTAAATATATGTGTTAGAGTATGATTCACCGCGCTATGACCACTTTGCACCAGAGCCAACCTGCTTTTAAAGGATAGCAGTGTTGGATACAGTAAACACCTACTGAATGGCTATACAGCATTGCCTAACATCAAAACAGGTTTCCCTTGGAATAAAATAGAGCTTCACTGCTTGCTGGCAGTGACAAGTGATTCATGCTTAACAATACATTCCCTGGGGATTCACTGTCACTCACTGGTGACTTAATAATGATTTAATATATTTAAATCCCATGGGCATCAGTATGGCACTTCTGTATTCTTAACACTTTAATAATATAGAGATTTGCTTTGAAGCTACTCACTTAGAAAAGTTATACTACTGCACTGGTAAAGTCAATTTTCCTAAGGGAGCTCAACATTAATACATACAGTAGCCTACAGACATTGTATTTAGGATTGCATTATGATCAGAAACAGCTGTTTTAACCTCCTGGTATTCATCTCTCGCTATTAAGTGGCAAAATGTGAGAGGTTGTTGTGCCTGGACTGGGCTGGTCGCAAATAGAAACGGAAACCTAGGTGCTTTATCTGAATTATTGATAATCAATGAAATTATTAATAGGCTACAAGAAGAAACTCTAACCTAAATAAACCGCGGATTCTTGGGAAATCTTCTCTTTTGCGTTCTGAAAGTCCAACCTTAAGGAGTGAATCTGAGAGCAAATTATTCACGGTTTGTGCATGAATAGAAATTCTTATATAATTAGCATATCCCCCCTCGCATCCCGCGATAACACTGACAGGCGAGCGCGCAGTCACGCACTCGCACGCGCGCTCGTGCCTCCAGCCTTCCTGCCACGCTCTATAGTCGCGTTGTCCCACACAGCACGAGCAAACGGTTGTCGATTTCAGCACGGGACAGATACCTGCACCCTCTTACTGCAATATGGCGACAGAGGTAAGACATTCTGCTTTTTCATTTAGCATTTTACGAACAGACCCCGAAAACCTTTTCCTCCATTTGTTATTTGTTTTTTTAAGAGATGCGGTCATGTAAACTGAATGTCTTGCTTGTACTACCTCTTTCGCTTATTGTGGTTCGGCTGAATTCTGCCTTAATTCAATCAAACCAGCCGACTGGACCTGGCTTATTATGAATTTGAACTCGAGTAGCAGAGAGTCATGCAACGTTATCTTTCATTCATGAGCTTCAATTTCACTTTCTTTCATCACTGTTCTTGAGCTCTGTGGTTGCAGACGAATATCCTCAGATAGAGAACTGGCAGGGTTTTTTCACTTTGTCCTTTAGCATATATAGTTTTTGCATGCATTGTCTAAGAAGAAACTGAAACCAATGTTTGTAGAGCCTACCCAGTAGACTCAAAGCTTAGGAGACTGATGAGAATGGTGATGATGATGGAGCAGTCAGCACCATGGACAGGGACAGTCTCCCTCTGTCTTTCCCTCTGTCATACTTTTAAATTAGCTTGACAAGGCTCGGTTTTGCATTTTGAACGAGCCACATATTGAAACAGCTTTCCACATTCAGCTTTCTGCCCTCTTCTGCCTGTAATACGTGTAGTTAACAGTATTGGCAACTCTTCACAGCACTAACCAAAAGATGCGAAGAGTGTCCATGACAGAAATGGTATTGTTCAGGGATCGTCACATAGTACAACTAGTTACTCCACACAGCATCAACAGCGTTTGCTGATGTATTTTTAGCCACAGTAATGCCTGGTAGCTCTCAGGCCAGCAGCACATCTTCCCCCCCTGTGTCCTTGGTGATGTCACCATAATGCTGAAGACATAGCTGCCTTAGTTATCATAATAATGATCTCACTAGAGGAGACAGCTATTACTTTGGTGCTGGTTCTGGACATACACCCATGCATGCAATATGTGCTTGCATATAAGTTTATAGATGTGCGCATCTTTATACATACTTGAGTGCCAGATATACCTGAAAGTGTCCAATTTATGAGTGAGTGAAGTTGTAATTCAGGCATAGTGGTGCAGCAGGTAAAGGTGCAGTGGACAGTAAGCTAAGCAGGATTAATGATTATGTTTTTTTTTACTTTTCCTGAGCCTGCAATAAAAATATTGGCAGAGTGGCCCTGATTTCCTCTGGTAGTTTGCCAGTGTCCCTGTCCAAGCCCCATCAATTACACACATGCACATACGAATGCATGCACACAAACACAACACGCACATGCACACAAACACATATATTACGTGCAACCAGGACAGGTTTTATGTCCAAGGCCCATCAATTATCCATGGCATATTTAATGTGGACATGCTGCTGCAGTTTGTAACCATCAGTGATTAGAGTTTGAGATGAGCAGCACAGTTTACTTCATGTTCATGCTTTTATCTATCCTCTCCCTCTGCCTCTTTCCCTGTCACATTTTATATTAAAACTCATTCTGTGACATTTATTGTATGCCATGTCAGCAAATGACCACGTTAAGTGACAGTGGCTCATACTGCAGACTGTTTGTGCTGTCTGTAGGCTAGCCCTGGCTAGAGTATTACACTGTTGATGAATAATGTGTCGAAGCACCACATTCATCTCAGAGTTTGGCAAAGGCTCAGCTCTGTTCTGAAACAATGTTCCACCTTCATCCAAAAAAAGATTTCCTCATCCAGCTTTGGTCCCACAGTCACTGATCTTCCACCTCGATGTCATGGAAATTTGTCAACATTGTCTAAACGTCAGTGATTTATAGACCTCTGGCTATCCCAGCTTGGCAGTAAACATGAAATTTGCTGCTCCCAAATGGCAGAAAACCAGTTATATTATGAAGAGATGAAGAGAGATTTAGCTGACAGTAAGAAAAATGCTGTAAGAGCTGTGAAACATCTTACTCTGTGTGTTTACTGTGCGTGTTGTAATTGTGTGAGTGCACTCACCTAGGCTGTAGCTATGTGTTCCTTGAGTTGGAGTGAAATTAGGATGTGTGTCATGGCAGTGAGAGTCACACAGACCCCAAGATCCAACCTGGACCGAATAAATAGGAGGGGGTTAACAGAGTTGGAATGAAAGGAATTGACAAAAAATACATTCAGTCTTCAGTGGCTATTATTAAATTCTTAAATTGACTGTGTATAGATTAAATTCCTATTATAATATATCATATTATAGTTAACAAAAATGTCTGTGGGTTTTCAGTGTATGGAAGTAATTGAAATTATGTGCATCATTCCCGTACTGTTAGATTTATGTGTTTAGTGTCTTTGTGCTATGCAGTTTTGTTAATTTGTTTCTATCTTTTGTTTGCTCAATACAATATGTTTTTATGAGCTCTTAACCGGTGGTAAGTCCTCTTTCTGTAAATTATATTTTCACACTCTTTAATCCACCTCTGCCTTTAATCACTATTCAAACAAATGTAAACTCCACTAAAAGTAATATGTGGGTGGAAGGAGAAGTCAGCCAGTGCAGCATGATGCAGAGCATCTTAATAGAGTCCTGTGTGATCAGTATGACACTTTAACATTGCTGTCTGCTTGTGTACTATATTTAGACAAAGTAATAGGCTAGTTTTGAACCCCAGTCTCCCACGCAGGAAAGTAAACATGAGCGCTCTGCCAAGAGAAAACATTTATCTTAAAGGCTAAATGGACAGAGACAAGGCCAGTCTGCCAGTAACATCAACACCATGTGACTACAGAAATGTTTTATGTCCTCTAGTATCAAATCAGAATGGCTGTTGCCACAAAGTCTTATGGCACCTAAACACACAGAGAGGGTACAAATATTGCCCCTCATTTGGCCAATCAGTGTCACAATACGTCAGCTCTCAAGTGTTGGTCAGATTGGACCACTGGTGTCAGATGTATCACTTTTGACCTTTAACCACGACATCCCCATCAGGCCAATCAGTTTTAACCGGGGGGACACACTTTTCCAAGTTCATTAAAACCAGGGAGTGGTGGGAGAGCGATCCTCTGAAATGCTGGGTTTCATTGTTGGTCTCAGAGTCACGTGACTCCGGTTTGCTTTGCTCAGCTGCGAGCTACATGTAGCAAAGACATGTAAGGAAGAAGTCAGTAGGTCAACAACAGGCCAAAACACACTGTGACGTCCCACTGGCCTGAATGCAGTGCATGTGGCTCATTTCACTCAGATGCCTCCTCTGGACTGGACTCCTCCCAGAACTCCTGTCAACTAAAATGTCGTTATCCTTTCTTCTTTCTTCCTCTCTTACCATTCCTGTTTTCTTCTCTTTCCGTCACACCTTCTTTGTTTAATTTTTTCTATCTTTTTCCTTTTCCTTTCATTATGTATTTCTTTATCTATCTTATTTATTTCCTTCTTCCCATCCTTATTTTATATATTTATTTTATATATTTCCTCATATCTTTCTTCCAATGCTTTTAATCTCTTTTTCTTTCCTTCCTACTTTTCTGTCTCTTTGTCCAACCTTCTTTCATTTTTCAACAAAACTGAAAGCATGGAAATTCCCAAAACTGGACATATGAGGTTTACATCTGGCAAACCTAAACTTACTTTGGGTACTTGAGTAATTTTTTACTGCTAGTTTGAAGGTTTAGCTACTCAAGTAAAATTTAAATGCAGGACTACAAAGAAGGTTGAAATCAACAGCAAGTGGACTGGTTGAAGATACTCAAAGACATTTCACCTCTGATCGGAGAGGCTCCTTCAGAGATCAGATTCTTTCCTTGGATAACTATGACCTGCAGAACCTTCACAAACAATGCAGGACCTCCACTTTTAACAGATCAATTTCCCTTACATAAAGGTTTTGTGTACTTTTAGCGTTGCTGCATCACATACTTGCATGTATATATATGCACATACGTACGCACAGTCACAAGCAAAAGGCTTGTATAATCTTAATGACCCTGACTCCCGGCCAAATGATTCTAACTTGGATAAATGATGCTCAATCGTGTGCTGATAATTGCTTCTATTAATAGAGTGACTTGTTGTTCATCATGATGGCCTGAAGATAGCACGGCAAGGGGTGAGGGGTGGGGGGGCAGTGAGAGACAGAGAAAGCAAAAAGAAGGATATTAAAAGCTCTGACAGACTGAAAGATCCAGTGACTGTGAGGTGATTTTGGCTGTTAGCTGACAAAAATAGCAGCATGTATGCTATTCTTGGTTATGTGCGATATACAGTACCCTATATAGAGATGAAAGACTGGCACTGTACTATGTCTGCTTACATGGAAATAACTCTCTTGGGCTCATACATGCAGGTAACCTTATAAACAGAGTCTCTGCTTGCTTTCAATAATAACAACACTGCAGTAGTTAGCAAAAGTTTGACTGTGGTATACATAGAATAACATTTAGTAAATATTGCTTTTAAAAGGCAACAACTGCACAAATGTTGAACACATTCTGTGAATACATTCAATACATGCCTCTCTGTCTGTTTCTCACTCTTTTTTTTTACCCCCCTTTTTGTTCGTCCCTCTCCCTCCCACCACGCTCCTACTGTATCTCTAATTACCATCCTCTTGAGGGGAGTAATTTAGATCAGCAGGGGACAAGTTACACTGGCCCACTTGCTTGCTGTCGTATGCCTCTCAGGGGAGTGAGTGTTTGGGTGGAAAACACACCACTCAGCACCAAGGTAAAGGAGAGTCTTTCAAAGTGTTTGTTATTACTGCAATTGGGCCTATTGATGCAGGAGCAATGCAGTGAGAGTGCTAACTAAGCTTGCACTGCTGTTAATGTAGTAACCATTCCCTCGCTGTGTAGCCCTGTTGCACCTGTGTTGTCAAAAGGCAAAAATACAACTCAAAACTAGCAGGAAAAATTGCAAAGCGTTATGTAAATATTGTATGGGCCTTGTTATTGAGAGCTGCTGTGAACATTTGGATTTTAAACTAAGACCCTTTGATAATTAGGTAGGCCGAAACTTACGTTTGACTGTACAGTGGAAGCCTTTTTCCACACCCACGCTTTTTTGCATTTTACTTGTCTTTATATATTGTATAGTAAATCCCCACCATCTGTTGCGGAAGTGAAAAAAAGTTCAGAAACAATCAGCAAGATGGTTTTTGGTCTGTATTTGGTTGGAGCCAAAGTATAGCACAAGCAAAATGCAAGCAAAGACAGACCTGCTACTCTCGTACCTACATGAATATAAATGTATTTTGGAACAAAAATTTGACAAGTTTGCTTTTCCCCTGTTTTGTTCTTAGTTCCATAACCTTCAGGAGCTGAGGCACAACGCATCGCTGGTAACAAAAGTGTTTATACAGAGAGACTACAGCGAAGGAACCGTATGCCGATTCCACACCAAGTTCCCCTCAGAGCTTGACAACAGGGTGAGCACGAATACAAACACACACACTCACATATAGACATCCAGGCAAATGTAATATGTTTGCAAATCCCAAATCACCTGAAACAACACCCATACTCTCCAACACAGAAAGAGTGATGGCGCAATAACTAATAAGATCCCAACAGTGGTGAATCCTATATGACAGAACACATGTGAATGATGGATATTGGCTTCTGTATTAACTTGTAAGGAAATGCACACAGTCATACACATATAGATTTATAAACTGAGCATAGCACCAATGTTAATCCTTAAAATCATTAACCATAATGAAAAAGCATAATGACATTGCAAGATCCACAAATGGATGCATCATGACTTTTTAATATCCTTAGAGAATAGACAGACAGAATAAAAGTGTCACAACTGTATTTAAACTCTTCTGTGTGTGCTCAGAAGAAAGGTAAAGCTAAAGAAGAAGAAGCCCTAATGCTTTTATTTTCACACTTACTTACTTTGGGCACTGTGAGAGAATGTGATGTTTATTTGAGGTGCATCTGTGAATGGTGGTATATAGGGGAATGGTGTTATGTATTATTTTAGTTTTGTCTAGCAATTAGCATCTGAAGAGGACAGTCCACATACACACACAGCAAGGAAACAGACACAAAGAGAGACACAGTGTAAAGGGACCATTAAAAAAACATTATAAAATCTGCATCATTTCACTGTAAATGTCCTCAGATGCTCAAACCTCAGCCGTTGCTGTCACAATTCAGAGTAAATTTTCCTCTTAGCCTCAAGTTTCTTCGTTTTCAGCAAGTGAGGTGTGTTTCTAAATTGTTTGACAAAGCAGGAGTATTTTGGATTGAGCAGAATGCAGCTGGTATATTTGGCAGGCTGTTTTATGGCTGAACAGCTTGCTCCCACAGTTACGCCAGAGAACTTTCACAGTCCTTATGGTGTGTGCATGCCTATCTCTACCTGGATTTATGTTTGTGTCTGTAAGTAGATTGAGCGAACCGTGCTGGAGGAGACGGTGAAGACCCTGAACTCTTACTATGTGGAGGCCGAAAAAATTGGGGGTCAGTCATACCTGGAAGGATGTCTGGCTTGTGCCACAGCTTATATCATCTTCCTTTGCATGGAGACACGCTATGAGAAGGTAATAAACCTGTGCACATCTAAATGCTAGCACATGCTATAGTGATATACCACTAACAGACCAGAGCATTTACCTATACAGATTTAATCTATGGAAAGATGGCTGCACATTGAAAATTAAACAGCTAGTTTTGGGAAGTATGTTAGATGATATCATACCGTCTTTATGTTTTATAGGGAGATAGTAAGGAAGCAGCTAGCTTGGCTCTTTCCAAAATATTAAACTTCTAAAACCTACTTTTCAACACTTCGTATTTGTTCAGTCTATATACAAACAGACAAAAATAACAGTTGATGGTTTTACAAGGAGTTGCATGCTGTAACAGGGGCTGGATAAACTGTTATTTGTCAGAAATTAGTTATACCATGTAACCGCAAATAAACACATCTTGTTTGTTTAATCCAAACACGAGCAGTAATGTAAAAAGCCAATTAGTGGGCTTTAGAGGTGTTGAGAGGCATATTTCTTAACTGTGGACATACCAGGCTAGCTGCTTTCCCCCCGCTTCCAGTTCTGCAAAGATACATCTTTTTTATGGAAGACATTTTGCATACCACAGTAAGAGAAGCACAGGTGGAAACAATAAAATTGGTGAGGGCTGAATTCCATGTAGCTGTTTTATGTCCTGGGATTGTGCATGCTGGCTCACCGTCACACTGTCATGGCTTACTGGGTCATTTGAATAGAGCAGAGCATTAATGTTAGTTGTATGTTAATGTTTAAAGAGGTGGTATTATGCTTTTTGGCTTTTTCCCTCTCCTTTGTTGAGTTATATACCTTTTTTTGTGCATGTAATAGGTGTGCAAAGTGAAAAAACCCAAAGTCCACCCCAAAGGGAGTTCCCATCTCCCACAGAAAACTCTTCTCTGAACTGCTTGAAAACAGCTCATTTGTAGTCCAGCCGTTTCCCTTTCATCCCTGTGACGTCACAGGGATGAAAGCTAAATGCACCTCATATAACGCTCGCCAAGCAGCTAGTCCGACGGGCACTCAAAAACACCGGTGGAAAAACACTGAACTGCAGCACACACTTTTGAAATTTAAACCATGTAAACCTATTCTGGTACGACCCCTAAATAGGATTATGAACCTGAAAATGAGCACAATACCACCTCTTTAACACCAGTGCAACTATGACAAGTAAAAAAACCCACTGTTTTTGTCTCAGTGGACTTAAGTGGACTTAAATAACCAAAAGTAATAAATATCCATTCATCCTACTACTAACCAGGGGATGTAGAGTCTATATTAGGCAAGAGACCGAGTACACCTTCAAGGTTCAAGGTTCAAGGAACCTTGCAAGCAATGTTAAGCAAGTTACTCCGGAATTGTATTAAGTTACTTTTTACTTATTACTCCTTAAAAAAGTAACAATATTTACTAATTACTCTGTATTTAAAGTAATTAATAACACTACTCGTTACATTACTATATTACTTTCACTACCCCCCCGCCTCTCCCCTTCCTGAAAAATTGACCTGTTTAGCAACTTATTTTAGAGAGGAATCCACTTTCATGGAATAATTAGGAGTCAGCAATCAGCCAAGCTGAAAACTCTGACTCAGAATAATGGCAATATTTACAGATGTTGGAAGAACACATATCTCCCTCGTTCTCCATTCTTCCTTTAGCTTTTTGGCTAGCAGCTGACTTGAACAGCATAAGGTCCGGCTTATCGTCATAAACTGCCTCTGACCTGCCACGCAATCACGCATTCACGCATTCACACATTCACGCATTCACGCATTCACGCATTCACACATTCCTGCATTCACACATTCACGCATTCACGCATTCACGCATTCACGCATTCACGACAAGGACAACGATGAAACAAGTGGCGTTCTGGTAATGCAGTAAGGCAGTAAGGCATTACCAGAACACTGCTAGCTACTGGGAAAAGTAATAATATTGCAAGTAATGACACCCACAGGCAATTTATCAATCCTAACCTATTAAATATCATGCAAAGCATGTGTATGGACCGTGGGAGGAAACTGGAGCACCTGAAAGAAACCCCCTGCCTGTGATAACTCCACACAGAAAGGGCCCAGCATGCAGCAAGTTCAAACCCAGGACCTTCTTGATGTGAGGTGACAGTGCTAACCACTTACCCACTGTGCTGTCATAATAAATTCAAACATTAAATCATGACAGGTACATTACATGAAGGTAATCAAATGGATCTTGTTCCTCTTAGTGTGCAGTAGAATACTAATGTTGCTGTAGGAATATTTCAGCTCACCCATTATTCAGTTACAGCTGGTTATTATAAACTCCAATGTCCCAAGATTTATTTACTGCCATATTTGTCCATTTTTATGGAAGCCAGCTCTCTCTCACACACAAAAGCATTCAATTGTGTGTTATAATGCACTATGGCTCCCTGAAGTCAGAGCACACAGGGCAGCGGAGCCAGAAAACAGGAGATACGATCTGATTGTTTCTTGCACAACGTCCCCTTCAGCTGTCCATTCACTAGCTTTTAAAACCCACTGTGAAGCTCACACCTGTGTGCCGGTGGCCAAGGCATGGCATGCCAACTGTAAGGTGACATATACCTTCAGCGTAACCAAGATGTCCATCTTGAGAAAGGACTGGTGATTAAAGCTGTCGGTGTGATTCCGCTTGTCGTTCCATGAGATGGAAGAAGAACACAAGCAAAGCTAAACAAAATCACATACACATACACAGTGAGTTTGATTATCCTCTTGTGACTGTGTAAGTAGCTGCTGTTTTTTTGGATGAAATGAGAGTGCCACAAAGCCCCAGAATGCCTCTCTGTTCTGATCTCACCCACAACATTCATCTCCGTAGTGTTGTTGCATTTTGTAAACATTTCTTTATCAAAGCAGTACAGAAGTACTGGGATTTTGACCAAGAAGCACAAAAAGACTTATTGCTGTGTTGAAGCCATGCAGACATAGCCTGGTTGGAGGCTCCTTTCATCTCCGTGTCAGCTGGGTGCCGCTCCATTGAGATGCTGAGATGCTATCAACCCCACAGGAGAGTTGTTTATTTACTTGTTTAACTTAGTCATCTTGGCTGAATGGCGTTATGACTGACAATGATCAGATATACCCACCCAAGTTGATGCTGTTTTTGCGTGTGTCTGTGTGTGTGTCTGTGTGTGTGTGCTGATAACGAGGCCACACACCGGTGAGCATGGATCAGTGTGCAGATTCATTGGAGCACCCAGAGCGCTTGATGCTTATATCTCACCCTATCAAAAGACACTGATTGTTCCCAGCATGTCAGAGCAGATACATGTGCACACAAGCATTCATAAAGCTTCCCTCACGCATAGTATGTGCCCTCCATTTCTAACTTTTGTTCTTCTATTATTCAAAAGAATGCGGCTGCACATATGGGACTCATGTATACACACATAACTCCCTTTATGTTGCACTCGGTGACACAAATGACTTTCATTCTAGCAGAGGAATACACACTCGTGACATGCGTCTGAAACAGACAGTGACACCTCTGTTTCTTAGGCAATATACACACACTTTCAAAGCTTTTCCCAGAAGGGCTGTCACACACATGCCAGTACAACAGAGGCACAGCTTGTATACTTCACTGCCATATTGTCAAGCTGAAGACGATTGAGCTGCCCTGAGAGCTCAATAGCAGTGAAAGGATTGGCCTTTTCCCTGCACCACAATAAAGCTATTAGTCAGGGCTGTGCTCTGTTGTGTCTCTGCTTCCTCTCCATGGTATTTGATTCTCTTTGATTGTATTTTTTAACAAAAGACACAGTCTTTATTGTGTTAGGAAATGTGTGGCTATACTGCCATTGTTACAAGCCAAATACTGATTGCTTTGTATATTTGTATTAAATACTTGACATAGATCTGACTGATTTAAAGCAGCGCAATGGAGCAAACCACTGCTTTTGAAGGGCTTTTCACTGAGAAAATCCATGTCTTGTTTGCTCCCCGATTGTAACATTATCCAGACATTTTATTGCTCAAGTTTCTTCTTCCTCAGAAAGAAGTATTCTTCTGTTGTTTAGTCTCCACTAGCAGGGGTCACTATATTAGCAGCTGTGCCCGCAGCTGTAATAGGCCTTTGACATCCCAGAGGAGCGCTGCTCAGTGTGTTGCTTAGTCGCTATTGTTTTTATCTCTCAAGGCTCAGTGCTGCAGTGACCTTTAGTTAACTTACAAAAGAGGATGTGATTCTGTCATATTGAATAAATCAGTTAAGGAATACACACAAAAGTTTACATCACAATACAGCATACTTCAGAAGATCTGAGCTTTTAACTTGAATCCTATTTTTGTCGTTTTATCATTATACTTACAGTATCAAGTTTATTGACAACAAGGCAACATTACCAAAAAGAAAGACAGAAACACAAGAAGTCAGACAATCATACAGGTTTTAAACAACCCCCTGGGTTAGCCAGCCTTTCAGGTTTTCAGTTTTAACTCCTAATAAAGTTGTAGATAATAAACTGTTTGCTTGTTTACAACTTGTCTGATTGTCTGACCACTCATGTTTCTTGCCGAATTGGACTTCATTATAGCAACATTGCCATGTTACCAGCCCTCAGCAATTATCATGGTAAGTAAAAACAAATGCTAAAGCTATGAAAATAAGTATGGTACAATATTCAATATATAATGCTGTAATATTTTGATATAAGTGATACAAGTGCATGGTGACAGCTTTCTGAGTGTACATGAGGGCCAGTGGAGCGTGGTTTAGCTGATTGACATGGATAGACAGAGTTTAAGAGAGGCATGGCACATCAGCATTGTTGATGTCCACAGCCATAGCTGAGGCTGAACAAGCTGCTCTAGCGATCCCGCTTTAGCTAATATCTGTTCATTTAGCATCACTGGCCATCAGTCATTTGGTTGCTATCTGCAGCAAACTGGGACTACATCACAGTGCATAAGTTTACATTTTATGTAACATGGTCTGTCATGTAACGTAATGTAATGCGTAGGAGAAAGTATACAGTACATGTTTGAATTTGTGTGCCAAGGCATGGTCTGAACTTGCTCAGCTTGACTCCACTGCTGCTTCGCGGTTTTTACACAGTTGATGCAATACTCACTTGCAAAACTGAGAAATAATTCCAGTGCCAATGCAATCTAAATAAACTGTCCACCTCACATTTTCAAGTATTTCCAAATTTCCCCGACAGTTAACCAAGCCATGACTTTTAGCCTAAGAGAGCCATCTTTGGAATTAGGAACTAAAGCTTCCAAATGGAAAACTTCAAAAAGAGGAAAGCCCAGGCTTGTCAATTTTAGTAATTATGTTCATACAGCCTTGCTTGACATGAGTGGTTTGGACCCATGTATAAAAATAACTGCCGTACTTAAAGCATAATGCAATTACTTTGAGTTTAGATTATAATGTTCAGGAAAAATAAAGGCGGGCAATGAATTGAGAGAGTCAGTATCATATGCTGTATGCTAGTTATGCGCAGAAGGACTACAAACTAATTTCTTCCATTTTTCATTTTTTCCACCCAAGGCAGCTCAGGAGGAGGTTAAAGTTGCTGTTCTTTTAGGTACATGGTTATTACATGTAACACAGAGTGCACTCTGGACGGTAATAGCAGGTAATGGATCCCCAGATGTCTGTTCAGATTGTTTCCTGCTAGAGCACATGTTCTGCTTGTGTTTTTAGGATTTCATCATGCCTCTAATGGTTCTAATCAAATCTGGATTATCTCCAAATGTACCTTATCTAACCCCTCTACACGACGCTGTTTTATTCCAGGTGCTGAAGAAGATATCAGGCTACATCCAGGAGCAGAATGAGAAGATCTTTGCTCCTAGAGGTCTGCTGCTCACAGACCCCATAGAGAGAGGAATGAGGGTTGTATCCTTCACTTGCTGTTCCTTCTGCTGCAGTTTTTTGTGTAGAACAAATTGATAGGATAAAGGCTCAGACAGGATAGCCAGGCATCTAGAAGACAAATAGGAGATGGCAGTAGTTTAGATGAACCAGGAGTCATGAGTGGAAGGTCACCAGTTAGAATCACTGGAACTGCTGGAAACATCTGTGTTGGATATATTAATAAGAAATACCTCCTCTTTCTCATAAATTACCATCAAGGTGTCCTTGAACGAGGCACTTAAACTCCAGCTGCAGCAGAGGAGCTTTTCAATGGCCAACTGTCGTTCCCAGGAGTAAATGTGAAGCAGGACAGGGCTGAAAAAAGCATGCATGCTCTGTCAAATGTCCTTTGAAAACAAAAGGTGAAAAAAACAGGGTGATGTGATGAATCAGCAGCCTAAGATTCGCCTGCTCAAAGGTTTTTGAAAAGAATTGTCCGGGACAGGAAAACCATGGTACAAGTAATTTGTTTGCACTAGGCTTTAGTTGAACCCAAGATGGACCCTTGGCCCTAGCCATATGGGTCCCAACGCGACCAGTTTCAAAGCAAGAATTACTCAAATTGGCGTGATACAAGTAAGACACACCCTATGCTGTTCTTTGGGAGAATGAGGTCTCCAACTAGGCTTCACAAACAGAGACCATATTGTATTGTCTATTGACTAGTAAGTGTCTGTAATAGGTTGGCCCTGTGACTTGGAGCCATTTCCTTGAGCCAGTCAGAGCCAGGCCTGTGTGATGGTCTGCTGGTCTCCCTCTGTTTTTTTTTAACTACATGAGGAACTGTGCTGGGATCAGTCCGACTGACAAAGCACGCTTCTGAAAACGTATGACTATAAATGAACATGCAATGAGCCATGTGAAGAGTGAAGAACATTTGAAAGTATTGTGGACAACACAATAACATCTTATTTTGGAGTGGTAAAATACAGCACTGCACATCCAGTGTGAGTGTTATTGAGACATATATTGACCATGTTATGAGCTGTTCCAGATGCTCTAACCCTGAAACATGTTTGAATGTTTCAAAATGCAAGTGTATTTGGAGCACTTCGAAGATGAGTCTGAGATAAAAGAAGCAGTTTCCAGTGAGAAAGAAGGAGGAAATATTCACTACCGTCTGAAATAATTTGTTTAGGTTTTGCAGCACTACTTGAACATGACAACTATCTGGGTTGAAATATGTACTGTGAGCAGTACTCAACCCTGTATTTTAATACTCTCTCCATCAAGATGATCCTTGACATTCTTTGCGTCTTCAGCTAGAGATCAGCGTGTTTGAAGACCGGGGCTCGGGCAGCTCCAGTCCCAGCAGCAGCATATCGTCGGCAGGCAGCAGCGCCCGGTGACTGGAGGGGCAGCGCCAGGCTTACGGGTACCACCACAGGGGCAGCGGAACTCTTACCAACATCCGCATGCTGAAACATGAGAGCACCAGGTTCTAAGACAAGCGGCGAGAAAAAGGCGAGGAGGTGATCCACAGCTTTCACACTCTCCCTGCCACCTCGAGAACAGGAGCCGGCTTACACAAACACACTGGAGACGCAACAGAATAAACACAAGTGCAACAGAACCCACACATTGGCAGTAGACACATGTATAAGCCAACATCCAGAGTGTATGTTAGGGACTATCCATCACTCTCTAACAGCTATTGAAACTAAAATAATCAGAATTTATTTTGTTCCATTTTTCTCTTCTTCCATCACGTCTGTTTCTATGAGTCACACCCTCTCTGTCGTATGGCTGATTCAGCAGGCTTACCCTTGAGTAGACTGGACGTCAATGCTTGATTGTTTTCAAGGGGGTCACTATCACTATGTCCATCTGCTGACACATTGGCAATGTAGTCGTAGGTCTGTGCAGCAGCTCTGAAATCTGTAAGGAGGAAAACTACCAGCCTCCTGGGAGAGCCAATGTTCTCCGGTCTCGCTGAATGATTGCATTCATGTCATGTGTTTGGGGTCAAGCCGCTTTGAATGCTGGTAAATTGGGCCTGCTGTGGGGCAGCTTGGTTCTATGCTCTGCTCACATGCATTTGGCTTCAATATCAAACAACTAACAGAGAGCACCTTGGATTATTTATCCTTCTCATTCACAGCAGTGGATACTGGTGATTCGCATCACAGCTGTAGGTCACACTCCTACGTGCGCACACACACACACACACACACACACACACACACACACACACACACGCTATCTCTCTATTCCACACACACACACACACACACACACGCATATAGCCAAACTCAAGTACTCATACATACACATACTAGCGAGGGGACACAAACGCACACACCTATGGCTAGTGGCCATGCATTCCTGCAAACACTGATTCTGGCAGACGTCGAGTCGACCTAGCCAGGCAATATTCTCTGTGGTCTCAGCTCATTGGGAATGCAAGCAAACCCAGGCCCTCTAACCAGCCCTTGCTGGTTGCCCTGGTAGTGTGTACACATATCTGGTGTGTATGAGCAAAGATCAGTGCACTGAGAACAGTCTGACACATTTGATTCTGAGAGATTTGAAACAGTGTGGGTTGTTATCTCTACAGCTGTTTGATGTATGTTAACCAGTATGGGTGTTAACGACAGGTGTGTGTTTGTTTATGAGTAGGTGTGTAGGAGAATCAGCTCACACAGAGTTCAATGCCTAACCCTCTATTAGTCTGTCTTCACGGCTCTCATGGAGATGCAGCTTATTTTTAATTATACAAAATTCAAAATCAAAACAGCAAAAAACAGACATCTAGAATGTGTTGTATTTGACATGAGCACAACAACATTAAAAAATGAGGAGAGATCTTGATGCAGATGAAGATTTTCTCTATCATTTATTATGAAGGCGTTCAGTTCAGTAGTGCCTGTCTGTCATTTGTCAGTTTTGTATTAGCAGAAATATAGGAATCAGTGTATATGTCATTTTGTCAGTGAAACACAGTTGTAGCTCCCTCTAGGGTCAGACTGAGGAAGGTCTGAACATCTGAAAGAAAAAAAACAGTCTGATTCAAACTATTCTCATTAATGGAACATAATATTCATATAACATTACTTATTCATACTGCTGCTCTGCAGGTACCTTTGTAATACAATATCTTCAGCACACACAAGACAATGCAGCCTGAGGAATATATATATTCTGTCTCTGTTTGTGGGAATTAGTACATCCTGTCTAACGTGTAAAGACGATCATTATGTAGCAGAAATATGGATGCCAGTAGACAGCACACCCACACAATCTCTAACAAAAGACAAGACCTCCTGACAAAAACTTAAGCCCTGTTTCAGTGTCTGCATATTTTATTTCTATTGCCACACTTTCTGTCTTCTTCTTTTTTATTATTATTATTTTATTTTATTTTGTTTTATTATTTTACCATTTTCATTTTTGTTTTCTTTGAACTCACCTCATAACATGATCTCTTAATTAACTCTGTAACTGCAGTCATAGTTACAGTAGCTATGATCAAAACCCTCAGTGGAGCACTTGCCTTGCAACCAGCCTTGTGTACTTTTACCTGAGCAGTGTCAAGTTGAAGTGAAACCACTCACTGTAAAGTCATTGTAGAATTGAAAACGTTTTGCTTCAGTCCAGTGGATCGTTTGACTTCAACTCGACATTTTACCACAGCAGTTGAGTTCAGTTGTACTTGTGTACGGCCTCCTGTGCTTTTTGATGCCTTCATGTTTCATCCCAGTGGAATGGATACCTAACCTGGGGCTGATGGACTGACCAATTTAAAAATGACTCAATACTGCCAATAAGCGAAGGAGCTCATTGGACAATGTACAAAGAAAAAAAACTGAGTGTGTATGAACTGTACAGGAGAAGAACTGTAGCTTGTCAATTATTATCTATGCTGAGTTTGTCAAGTGTAAATGAAATGCCATAATATTTAATTCCAAAACATTACTGTTGCCCAGTAATAGACACAAATTTATTTAATAATTATTTTTTAATGTTTTGATATCCTCTCTAATTTGGGCATCAAGTGAAAGAGCAGCTATGAAAGCATATCATCTGTACAGCTTTGAACTGCTGTGCAGTATCTTCTGTTAGTGAAGATAATGCTGTGTTTTGTCCAAAATACTGTTTAAAGTGTTGATTATGTAGCTTAAGATATTGTTAGTAATAACAATGTCACTTATTATTGTGGAGCTACACAGAGTGGTGAACATGATGATCCTCAGGGGAAAGTGTAAAATGTGCCAAATTCAAAAACTGAAGTTCTTAAAGGATTAAAATGTTTAGCCATGCTAACAACTTTAGGCAATGTTGGTCTGTCGGTTTGTCCACCACTTTCCAGACTGAAATAGCTCAACAAGTAGTGGATGAATTGATGTGAAATTTGGTTTAGATGTCCATGGTACCCAGATGAATCCTCCTGACTTTGTTGATCCCTGTATTTTCCTCTAGCCCACTGTCAATCCTTTCACATATCCACTGTCTCTACATCTATTTGATAGATCAGCATTGCTTCATGGATTGCCATAAAATTTGGTTGTTCCCCTCAGGACGAATTGCAGTAACTTTGGTGATGCCTCAACTTTTCATCTAGTGCCATCATGAGGTTAACGTTTTAAATTGCCCAACATAATACATGCTGTACTAATGACATTCCCATCAGCCCTCGGCTATACTTTGGGTTTACTGCTAATTAGTAAATATTGAGATGCTTACAAGTAAGAAGTGCAGCCACACAGTGCCGCTAGCATGGCTGTAGACTGTTGTTTCACGTATGTCTTTAAACAATACCCCCATGCCATATGTCCATTGAAAGAGCAGGAAGATTTACAGGAGGACTGTTTACAGTAACCAATAACTCTTTCAATGACTCCTAACAAGCAAATGGGCACAATGCGCAGTTTGTTAAGATAGATTTGAAAAAGACTGAGGAGAAAAAGAAGCACTGTGTGCAATATTGTAAGACATTGTGTAGCGTGTTCTTTCAGGAGCCACTTTGATAAATGAAGACTACCAAGGGTATGATAATATGATATTAAATGTATTCTCATAAATAGATTTTAGCATTGTGATATGCCTCATTATCACAAAGCAGATTATACTTTGGGTCCTTGCCTCTGTCATGTTGATCTATCAAGATAACCTCTGTTCCAACACGTCTTTGAAAGAAAAACGACAGTATCAAACTCGTGGACCAAGTGATGGTGTATGGTCCATTTGAGTATGTAAATTACCATGTTATATATTTATCCTGTACTGTATTTGAGACTGCAGCAAGTCAGACATGTGGAGTCATCAGTAAGCTCAGAAACTGTATAGTATGTTGTGTTGTTACAAGTGAGAGATTATTCATGGTGCAATATGGTGTCTTCCTAAAAATGTAAAAGATGATGTTTAGAGTTTCGGTACCAGCCTTGTTGCTGTGAGTTCTGAGTCGTTCTGCTTCCGGGAGACTAATACTGCATTGATGTTTAATGTTGCATGATGTGTGTGTAAACAAACTGAGAACCATCTGACAAGACCTGAAATCCCTGATCAGCTAAGTCCCTCTGTTGTGCTGCTAAGAGAGAAGAATTTATAGCTTATCTTTGTGTTATTTATGTGTTTACATCGGATTATTTACATATTAATTGAAATGGATTCACATAGTTTTTCTCAAAGCTGATTATTATTCAAAGCCTAGAGAGAAGAGTTCCAGCTGTCTCCAAGAGATGAATAAAAACATCTGATGAAGTTGATGGAAAGAGAATTATTGTGACTGCAGGGTTCTGTGGGTATCTAACAAGGTACAATTCGTGATGTTTAGAAACTAGATCCATGCTGTGTCTCTGCTTTGAGTTCATCTGAGGTAGATGTTTGAAATCTCTCTCTCTTACACACATTTCTCAAGATATTCACAGGAGGAAACTCCAAAATGAGACCAAGTCTTGCCCTCACCTGAGGGCAGTTATCTCTAGGGTGACATAAGACCTGGAAGGTAAACACTTTTATTTATGTATTATTTATTATTTACCCCTGCAGGGTGTATTTTATTTTAACCATCTTCTAATGAAACAGTACATCTTTTATCCATGTGGCAAGACAAAAAGGTCTAGACCAGTTCAACAGAAAGAGGCCGAATGCCAAAAGTGTGGTGAATACCATCACATTATGCATATTAGACGACAAATTTGCATTTACACCAAACAAGGCAGTAATGGTGCACATCAATAGTGGTACCAGATGCTTCACTTAACGAGCCTCCCAAAAAGCACAAAGGCTGAGGCAGGCCGCTAGAACAGAGTTGCTGGAGCTGCCCTGCTCCTCAAACAAGTGAGGTCAAAATTTGGATATATTCTTGCCAGTTTAGTTTCAGGAAGGTGGGAAATACTTTTGAGCCTCAGACTTGTTTCAATATTTTATTTCGAGGTTATATCTCTTGGGTGAACATTGAAACAGTTTATACTGGGATGCAATGTGATTTTTCCCCCAAAAATATCCATGTTAGAGGGGCTATGTGCAGTTTTCAGTGTCCTGGGGTTACTGTGGGGTTTCAGATAGCAACCACTACTTTCCAAGCATGTGCTTGTGCTCGAACTAATGAGTGAGCTAAAACAAAGACCGACAGACCCGAAACAGCATCACAGAAAATGATGGAAACTCAGCTAAACTCCCACTGCAACATGACAGTAGTCTATCAGCTTGAGTTGAACCAGTCAATACTCTTTGCATGACAAATCTGACTACATTTAGCCCACATCATATGTTGGCGTTAGCTCAACCTGCCAGCTTTTCAATAATTATTTGTATATCTTTCACCAGAGAGGATCAACAATGTCAGTTATATCTAAATGTATTAGATGATAATGAAAATGGTTAGTGAGCTAATATGAATATTACAAATGAGACTGTTGCCACACTTTAGAACAGTTTAGAACGTAGTAGTTGTAGTGGTATACAGGCCATAACGTTACAACTATAGTAATTTGTAACAGATAAAGTTAGCAACTGGTCAGAGTTAGCCGGCAAGCTAATGTTATCTAACTCTAGCCAACTAAAACAAAAAATCACAATGTATTTCATATGCTTTGCTTAATGTTAGTTTACCTGTCCACTAGGATGAAAGCCAACTATGGGTCAGTTTTTATATCCAAACACCTTTCCGTGTTTTCACCCAACATTGATCTGATTCTTGGTTGGCCTGACGGGCTTCAACACATCCTTACATTGTGTT